GTGCATACTTGCAGAATCTAGCACTGTTTGTTCTTCAAATTGCCATAGGTGATTCACATCTAAGATTACATTGCCAATTTTATTAAAACTTTTGTAATAATATTAAATCAATAATTTGAAGAAAGCTTAAAGTCAAATATGTAATATGTAATATGTAATTCAAACCCAAAGTGAAATAAGTCTTATTGTAAAGCACCTCTACATATTTTATACACATTGGAAAATACATAAAAGTCATGTGAATCTGAATGTAATGTTTCCTCATTTGTAAGAATTCCTTCTTTGCTCAAGTGAAAATAGAAAAAAATTCTGTGGTATTTTCAGACCTAAGATTAAATTTTGGGCTCTGATCATTCAAATTTGCTTTCAGGTCTTTTGTCAAATTAAACTCATAGTGCATAAAGTAGGACTGAACCAGTATTCAAGTTATAATTGAGCTCAGTTTAAATGTCTGTGTCTTATGTATAGATACGGTATTCAAATTTTTTCATAAGCACAAATCCTTAATTGGTAGATTATTCATGCCTCTACTCCAATTGAAATCTTGGCTGATGAGTCTTTGAAAAAAAGCAGAAATGTATCTTTTTACACATTTGCAATGCAGATGTATTAAAACAACCAAGAAACATTCATCTTTTTGATAAAGAATTATCCACTTCTGAATGTAAAGTACCATATTCTCCAGAATTTTTGTCAATTTTTTAACTCCATACAAATTCCCAAACTCTTGTAAAGATATAATTTGGAGACTTTCACATTGAGATGAATAGTTATGAATCCCCTTAAAATGAATAACTTTCTAATAGTGAGTATTGTTCCACTTGGAATTTACAATGTGATAAAAGACATTAGAAATCAACACACACAGATACAGACACACACACACACACACACACACACACACACACAGAGATGCACACAAGAAAGAATATGTAATTCAAACCCAAAGGGATTAGTTATGAAAATAACAACTGAGTTTGATTTTATTAACAGGAAAGAAAACATTTTAAAAGTAGAGGCTCATTATTTTTTTAAACATCGTTGTTCCTTAGGATATCCTGCTAAATTGTTATGCGTGATAAGATTGGAGGGGGAGAAAAGCTTGTCTTACAGAGTTATCAATCTTACTGATGGTCACTTATTAAAAAGTGACTTAAATATGAGTAGAATTGTGAGATACTGTGATGAGGATAAAATATCACTTTTTCACCCTTAGAGTTTTAAAATTTAAAAAATATATTTCTTTCATTTACACCTTCTTTTTTATCTATTATTCAAATTGATTATATGTGGTTAAAATGTCAATATATTTTTATGATATAGTTGTTAGGATTCTAATCAGTACTTTTTCTGGTTAAAAAATAAATTTTTTTTTTTTAGAAAATCACTGTATTTGTTGTAACAGAATTAAACCTTGAGACTCTATAAAAATTAATAACTAGTCTTTGTAGGTGTTTAAGAATAACAACTCTAGAGTAGTAACATTAGCTTGTCTCTTCTAGCATTTGAGGCTGTCTACATTGCCTAACTTGGGCAGCAGTAGTCTAGTTCCTACCTCTTCAAAATGTCTCTTTCATTTCTTTGTGTCTTATTATTTAAAATCTCCCTGTGCTTTTGCCTTACAACACTTATGAATTAATAAATCCTGAGGTGAGCGATTTCCTAATCTCGTTTCTTAATTATTTATGTGAAAGGCCTTTTTTCCCCAAATAATATGATGTAACCAGGTTTCCGTAACTAGACATGGACATATATTTTGATGGTCAAAATTCAACTCATGACAGGCACCTAAAGGAATTGCTTGTATAGCTCTTCCAACTTTGTAGAATTAGTCTGCAGTTCTTTAAAATAAAATATACAAACAAAAATATATATTAAATTGACAAATGGTATAATAATTCCAAAATTGGGGTGTCTGATGAGCCAAATTTATTTATTTAGTGACAAGGTCTCACTGTACAGTTCAGGTGGTGCTTGAACTCACTGTATAATTCATACTGGCCAAAACGCTTCTAGCAATCCTCCTGCCTCAGCCTCTCAAGTGTTGGGATTACAAGTGTGCACCACCCTGCTGGGCTGAGCCAACCTCCTTTTAAAGATTAACTTTAAAAATACATGAAGATAGAACAATTTAAAACAAGATGTTTTGTGAATTTTTGCTTCATAATTATTCACACTTTAAAGTCAGTGGAGATTATGTGACATCAAAAGTGCCATAATTTTTGATCTCTAAAGGTTTTGCCTTAATCTTCTTTGAGCATTTAGAATATCAAATGTCACTTTTATATAAAAAGTGAGAACTGTATTCTCAACCTTATAGTCTTTGTACAAAGAAGTAAAAACGGTTTCTGATGATGTTAATTGTCATAAAATGACTAGCTTTTTCTTAGTAGAATATTGATGTCCAAAGGAATATTTTTGGTTTGTTTAAACTTTAATTATTTGTCTTCTTTTAAAAGGTGTGTATCGATCTTAAGGATCATCCCTTTCATCTTATTTTTAAGTGGTCATTGTGCCCTAAATTTGATTGTTTCTTACCTATATATTGAATTATAGTGGCCTTATGTAGTATTACTGTGTACAATGATAAATGAATGAATGAATCACACACATTTTTACCCAGTGAGTGTTCTCTCTCACAGTGCTGGAACTAAGAGGACTGATGTTCCATTGAAACAATAACATAAAAACTGTGCCTATGTTCATGCACACACACACACACACACACACACATACACAAACACAAATACAGGACAGCGTTGTCCTTTACTGGAATGAAGAGTATATAAAGGAATAATGATGGAAGGTAAAACATTTTGCTAACTTCAAAAATGAGCTGGTTAACAATTGCTCACTGAAGTCTACATAAACTCTTGAAGCTTTCAGGTTGTGTTTTTCACCTTCTGTGTCTAAGATGTAGCATAATATTAATTTTAAATAAATATTGACTACATAAATGTTGATATAATGTGTGATTTAGTGATTTAATTAGCATAACAAGCAAATACATTCTAACACAAATGCATTGCAGTTAAATCAAATAGTCATGGGATGGTGGGACTTACAATCTAATGTGCGTATACATATACATATGTATATGTTCACTGATTCTTTTTATTTGTTGGATAGTCTTTAATAATTGTGTAGTCATAGATGCAAAGACTAAAAACAACCTCAGGTGGTCATCTAGTTCTATGCCTTTTTTTCAGGAGACAAGCAATTACTAGTCCCATGATCTATTAAGCCACATTTTCCTTAGTATGTGACAGCTAAGGTGATGCTGATCAAAAAATACTGCCCTCCATTCTTAAACAATTTCACATGCACATAGATGTTTAACAAGCCTTTTTTCAAAGCTATTATGAGAAAACACTAGCAGCCTTGGTCTGGAGGAGTAATTTATGATAGCTAGGTAAATGGTGTCCAAGATCACCTTGCTCACATTAGCCAGCAGGTACCTCTACCCCTCACTGCAGTCTTTCTTAAACCCTGGTGACAAGTGTGATTAAAAAAATAACAACACTCTGAGTCCTTCTTTAGTTGCTAACTGTATTCTTTTTGTTTGTTTGTTTGTTTGTCTGTTTTTGAGTACATCCCTCCTGCCTCAGGTCGTGTCAGTAAGTTACCTGAGGAGGGTGGGGAGGAGAAACTGCACAGGAGTGGGTGAGCGTGACAGGAGTGCAGTTAAAGGGAGGCCTGTGTCTGTCCCCTCCCTCCCCAAGCTCTCTTCCCTTTTGGTTCATTAACTAGGAATGTGGGAAGGTGAGGGAGATGAATTTAACTTGTTCTGACACTAGTGAGAGACAGGAAAGTGTGGCCGCTTCCATAATATTTCTGCCCCGGAGAATGGTAATTGGAAAATGTGTTATGTGTTTGGGTGTTGCATTGAAAAATAAAAGAATGATCAAGGAGAGCAGCAGAATCAAATTACAAGCATAAGACAACTGTGCTGAAGTTTTTAGCCACTTGTGAAATTGAGAGATACTATCAGGACTGTGCAAATACATTGCTCTGATTAAATTTCCTGGGGTGAAATATGAAAATATTTATAAAACTGAGAATTCTGCCCTGAATAAATTTTTCTCTATGATTATGATAAACTAAAACAAGCCATACCTGGTATTTACTTAGTTAAAAAAAACTATAGAATGGCAAAATAATAATGAATTAAATAAAAATACTTTACTGTGAGAGTAAAGAATCTATATTCAGGTATTATTCTAAGTTGCTAAAATACTGAAGAATATTCAACCAACAAGGTAAAGACTAATTTATCTAAGAGGGTTTTAAAATGTGATTTTCTAAATACTGTTATGGTAGTAACCTGTTTGTTTTTTCTTCAGACCTTTTTCATGTTTAAAAGCTATAGTTTTTCAATATCAAAATAAACAATGTCTACTTTTAAAAGAATTAAACCTTTAGCTCTAATGAGAATGAATAATTCAGGTATTATTCAGAAAGAATATATTTGGATTCTAGTTTTTCTTTACCAATGTGAAATAAAAGATTTTAATTGCAGATTTTTTTCTAAGTTTCTTAAGAATATATTTGAAGAAATCATTGATATAAAAAGGATTAATTAAGAAACATCCTGATACACAAAGCATTTCTCTTATATAAATCTCTAGAAATATTCTTTTGTCAATCCAAAGAGAGCAAACTAAAATGAGATAATTGGGAAGGTGCCCATAAAGTCAGCCTGAATATATTATCACAACTATATATGAGATAATATTTGTTTTAAAAAGATTCTATAGCACTGTAAACTCAGTCTCATTAGAGACTGCATTTAAAAGGCTTATAAAGTTACTCATTAATGTTATCTTGTTGTATCTCCACAGCTTTTTCATTAAAGAAAATTCAGCAGAAAGCATTTTCTCCTGATAGCAGGAACCAATTTGCAATAAATGTTCTGGAAACCACTAGGGAAGCCATTACTGAGGTCTAATAAAAACAGACAAGCGTAACTTGTTCTATATTTTTGTTTCAATCACATACAGATGAGACCCCGCTTTCTACACCAACCGCAAGAGACAGCCTTGACAAACTTTCTCTAACTGGGCATGGACAACCACTGCCTCCGGGGTTCCCGTCTCCTTTTCTGTTTCCTGATGGATTGTCTTCCATAGAGACTCTTCTGACTAATATACAGGTGGGCTATGTACAGTCTGCAAGAGAGGGACATAGAATACTCAGATGGAGGTTTTCTTTTCCAAGTTCATCCAATGCCATTTAATCCACTCATGAGATAGACTGAACCAGCTATTAAGCTTGTTTTTCTCCAGAAATTAAGCATTTAAAATTGCTACACTATTCAAATTGGCTTAGAAATGCTTAGATATGTATATTAAATCATAATGAAACTTAGATGAAAATGACGTCGGCATTTAAAAATGCATTCTGCCTAAAGGCTCCCTTTATTACCTACTAATGATACAAGCACTACTGTTAAAGTTTTTCAGATTTACTAAATGATGGCACACCAGTTCTAGTAAATATTTAGATATTTTTAAACTGTTGGACTTCCAGCGAGGAAATGATATGTTTAGTTATTTAAAATATGTTCAATATGAAAGAATCCAAAAAAATCACTTCTTTCATAAATAAGTTTGTTTCAATTAATAGGGTTTCTTCAAAGAATAGACTTCAAAAAGCTATGCCAAAGTTTCCACGGATTTCCTATGTGGTCTTCAGGATGTATACTTTACGTACAGTACATTATGAATCAAAAATACTTACAGTTAACAATAACACAGAGCACGGAGCCAAGATAATAAGAGTGTTTGGGATAGAAGAACACACAATTTTCTTGCCCACACAAGAAGTGGTCATGTGGATCCCAGATGGAGATTTTTGTAATCTAGTTGACCATATTTGGGGTAGCTAGAATAGGCATCAGCACACAGATGCCGTAGTTATAAGATTCTTTATAAAAAAATTTTATTCCAACCATCTTCCTGAGTGATATTTTCCTGAACACACTTCTTACCATATTAAACTTTTTCCCAGTAGAAATGTAATTAATTTTATTTACCTCTCCAAGGACATAACAGAAGGCCTTTAATATAACATATCTTCCATCTATTAATATGGCATTTTTAATGCTAATGTAATTAGAGTTTCCAGAACTGTATTCAATATTAAGGTTTTATATCTCAGTAATTGAAACAACTCATCGATGTCACCCAAACTGAATTATGACCAAGGAATTAATTATAACTTGAACAGAAAATAAGACTTTTCCCCCAAACTTCACCTCATAACTCTTTTTTGTGAAGTAACACTTTAGTGATTTTTTTTTATTTCATAGAATTAAATATTTTCAGAAATATCCCTCACCATTCTGAATTTAAATTCTAAAAAGTAGAATAATGCATTTTACATTCTTATATAAAACAAAAAAGGCTAGGTATGTATATCTTCACTAACTAAAATCTCTTTAACCAAACCAGTGAAAATTTAAGTTCAATTTCATCTGGTAAACCAGCACATTTATGTGAAAGGTGGGTTTATATATGGAACCTTGCCTCCTTTATGACTACCGCATCTTTAAGTCGAAAACTGATAGTTTGGGAATACCGTGCTTAGACTAGGAATACTAGGCGTATAATTTCAAATTTCTTAACAATAGAAAGAAAAACAAGCTAGGCATGATGACATTCACTTTTTACTGGCTACCAAAGGGACAAATTTAACTGTTTTTAAAAATTTTAACCTTTTAAATTTGCGTGATTTACACATGCTGGCAGTGGCAGAAGTATCACAAGTCAGAGTCCAGGCTGAGCAACTTAACTACTTACCGAGACCCTGCCTCAAAATAAAAAAATAAGAGTAAAAAATGTAAAAACTTTTAAAAGGCTCTGGACATAGCTTAGTGCAAAATCCCTGGATAAGGAAGGGAAGGAAAGGGAGAGAGAAAAAGAGGGGTGAAGGAGAGAGATTTAAACATTAGCTTTAAAATACACATATTTTAAACAATTTACTTATTGAAATTTCTCTAAATCTGCTATACTCTTTAACTGTTTGCTTGTTGTTTTATATTGTATATATACTGTGTATATTTTATATTGTATTTATATTGTATATATACACACATATGCAATCACACATACACACTGAATCACAGTCAGTAATGTTTTCACATCATTTTACAAAAGGTCATGGATGCTAATTCTTATTATTGCCACATTTATTGAGCTATGGTACTATCCCAGGAATGGTACAGAATGTTTAAACAGTCATGACCCTGGCTTATTAGGCATACAGTATAAATGTGCTTGCTGTCTAAATTCTAATTGGGGTAATTACAGTCTGCCTACCTCAATTTCCTCTGCAGCTTCAAGTCTATGTAATAGGGTTCTCTGCTTTCTCTGTCAAGTTGTAACATACTTGTATAATAAGTTTAAAGTTCCATATTTCCCTTAAAACAGTTTATTTTTAATTAGAATCAATGGCAAAACCTTTCAAGATAATGTTCTAATAGTAAAAAAATTAAATTTGATGATATAATATAATTTGACCATTATGTATTATAAAATTTGTTAGGATTAATAGAGATATTCCCTCCATGAAAGCTGTGTCAAAACAACTTTCATAAATATGATATCTTCATGGTTTAAAGATCTATAGAAAAATAACATATATATATATATTTGTATATACACATACACATATACATTTGGGGGCCAGATTTTTACTTTTAATTTTGACTTTTCATTAGTACATGCCTAGAGTACGTAATAATTACATTCACAGTAAGAAATTCGTGCATGTGCTGAACACATTTCAAATTTTTCCCCTTTGCTCTACTCCCCTTTTATTTGTCAGCATCAGATTATTTAACTTATAAGATAATAACGCTATATATTAAAAACCAGACATAGATTGAAAAATGCATAAAACATGTGAGACAGTTGTACTAAGTCAAGAGATGCTGCAGTGGATTAGAATAACATTTTTCTCTCTCTGTCTCTCTTTAGCCAAATTTTTCTTAGTAGAGCTATGCAGCTTTTGCTTGGCACTTGAAGCTGTTAGAAATTAAAAGTGGTAACATATAAGAATAGCTACAGTAAGGGATAATAATTTTATACTAGTGAGGGGTATGAGTACATTTCAGTTTTTGTTTTAAGAGTGTTTGAAAATTTTACAAGGAATTTTATTTGATTTTTTTCATTAGGAACAATTTTTCATCATGGGTTTTCTAATTCAAACATCTTTGGATAATTTGTGAGGCTTAATGAGAAAAAAATTTTGTGTTAATTAACTAGATGAGACACCTTCACATACTGGCTACCAGTGTAACACACTCAAAGGATTCTACCTACTATTCTCAATTTGAGTTTTCATGCCATAAACTACATGACTCTATTGGAAGATAGGATTGGAAACAATTATGTACTTTGTTCATATGTCTTTTCACAAAAATTATTTTAGATGGCTTACAAGTACTCAAACAGTAATAGACAAGTAAAAATGTAAATGTAAAAAAGTAAAGAATATAAAATCTAATTAGGGATGAGAGTAGAATCAAAGATATTTATTGTCAGGGATACATAGTAGGGGTTTGGTTCACTATAGTTTGTCTTCAAAGTACTTAACAACTACAAAAAGAAGACAACCTAAAAGAGTTGTTAACTCACACTAAAAGTTAGTTCCAGGTTGATTCATTATGGTTTAATAAATAGACTTAATCTAACTACAGTATCTAAGAAGTAGTTTTATTTCTGCGTTGGAGGAATAAAATGAAGAAATAATTTCACTCAATATTAGTGCTGAAACACTCTGATTATCCTACTTTACATTTCAATGGCAAAACCAGTACTCTATTTGTGTACATTTTAATATAAATTAATATTTTATTCATGTATATTATTAATGTATAGTTTTATTGAAATACGTGTAGACTAAAGGTGAGGAGAAAACCCCACTCTCCAATAGACCATTGGATTCAAAATATATGAGTAAATTACAATCAGATATACTAGTATTATATTCTAAGATTTTATTATCAATTATACTCATGTAGTTTTTTCTTCTTTCTTCCCATTACCATTTTTTTTTTTTTTTTGTTTTTTTTGTTTTTCTCCGGTACCGGGAACCAAACTCACAACCTTGCACTTGCCAGGCAGGCGCTTTGCCGCCGAGCTAAATCCCCAGCCCCTCAGTACCATTTTTGAAAAGACTACAAAATCATTAAAATATATGCAAAATTGTAAATACATCTTACTGTGAAAAGAAGAGCAATAACTTCTTTAAAACCTGAACTACATATTTCTTCCTTTATATTGTATCCCATAACAATAATAGTATGAATTAATACCTAAGGAGCCATTTTAATGTGCCAATGTCTACAGTAATTATGTCGCTTTTAGCCTGAATCTCTTTTATCACCTGTACAGTAGGTTATGTTACCCATTTTCCATTGAATAATACAGAAGGAGATATGGTTACACAGTGCTGGTGCAGCCTGGATTTCAGAAGAAGTCTGATTTCAGAGACCACGTTGCCATTTTACCACCCATATTATATGAATCAGGTGATAGGTATATGCCTGAAAATGCTTTTTTACAGGCAGTTTGTCATCGATCACCTTTGAAGAATAATAACCATAACATTAGATTGCACCCAGTTCTATCTTTCATTACAAGAAATTCTGTGACCATGCACCAATTGATTCTGTCATTGTTTTATCTACAAAATTCCAGATTCCAAGGGAAGCAATTTTTTTTAATCTACAAAATTCCAGATTCCACGGCAAACAATTTCTTCACATTCTCCAAAGCGATAGGGAAATACTAATAGAAAAGAAAACGAAGGGTAATTGGCTGTGGTTCAGATACTGGCTTACTCACCTCTCACATCTGTAATCTTAGTCATCTTATCCTTCTGGACCTTTTTTTTTTAAATCTCTACAAGTTTATTTTTGATACAATGGATGAATCACAAATACTTCTTCAAGAAGGGTGTTTTACTCTGACTAAAAGAAACATTCTTCAGCACAAATTTGTCACACAACTTTGACACTTGAAGAACCCTTATCATCTGGTTCTGAAATAAATTTGCATAAAATATGAACAAGAACCAAGTAAGCTTTTCCCTCTTTTATAAATCTAACGTGCTAGGAAATCTTGCTTATTTCATGTCAGTATTACCTGAAATATTCTTATGCAGTTTTTTTTAGACTTTCTAAGCAATAGATATAGTGGAAACATTGCTAGATCTACTGTAGCACCTTTAAAATATTAGCTCATTCTGTGAAAGTAATTTAGTTTACAAGATAAACTATTTTAAAAAATAAAAAAATATTGGTATATTATGACAAACTGTCGTGCTTCACTTGTGGAAAACAAACGTAGGGCCAATCAACTCATGTCTCTTTTCATTGAGAAATATTTAAAATGACTTTCTTTACAGCTATTCGTATCCCACTTATGCTAAGAACTAAACTCCTCTTGGAGAAAAAGATCATATTTTAAACCTTCTATCTTTTACTATGCTCATTGTTGTCACAGCATTTTACTAGGTATTACATGTCCAAATGAGGTCCAGCATGTAGTATGATCTTTTGCAAACCATCTACCTGCAAATTCTACAGAAGTTACACAAATGCAAAAGTATTATTATCACGGATGGTTCAAATGGTGTCCTGATGATTTGTAGAAGCTGCCAACACTACTTGCTATTGCATTTCCCAACCCCCTGCTGCACTGAAATTTAATCGGTTTTCTGTATTTTTTTGCAGCGGAGATGTCACTGGTTGTAACACACTTTTGCATATGCATCAGTTTGGCTCTAGTGCAGATTTTTGTTCACACTGGACTCCTACTGATATGCGCTGACTTAAAGTCTAAAAATTATATTTAATTTTATATAGCTTATAAGTACTCCCCGGAGGGTATTGGATCCTAAAAGTTAATATTTTTCAGACATAATCAGCAGGAATAAGTAATGTATTGCCATTAAACACATTAGCAGCAACTGTAACAATAGGAAACAGTAAACATAAATACTCTTAGCAACTTCATTCTTTACAAAGGAATATTAATATAAAATTACACAAATCCAGCAATTTAACATTATTCAACATGTTTATTCATAAAGACTGTTTCATATTTAAAGAACACCAAAATATTGTGTTTTGTCAGCCAAGGACAATAATAGTTTAATAGTAATTTATTTTAAACAGCTACTGATAATACAACCAATCAACACATTAAGTGGTGCCAACATTGGCATCTTGCTAAATAATCTCTAGACATTGCACAGAGAGTACATCTTTCAAAGATAAGTCAACAAGAGCAATCAGAGCAGAAAATTAGAATTTGGTATCTTAGAATTAAAATACAGCTAAACTAAAGTTTTAATTGGGGTGATCTAAAAGGGCACTTGATGTAATGATCTCTTTCATTTGTTACTAATTGTTTGTTCCTGATGAAGAAGAAACGCGCAGGAATGTTGCTGAATTCAGTTAAGATGGCAGTTTCCTTAGTGGCTATGCATTATTGTTAAACAACAAAAGAGCGGGGAGGGGCACGCTCCTACAGAGAAATCTTTCTCCAGCCTTTTTCATATCACAAGAAGTGCACCAGAAAATTCAGGGTCGGGCATAACAAATACGAAATAATTTATGTGTTTGAAAAGAGACTGAAAGTGGCTCATGATGATGCTCAAAGTTATATTGGTAGGCTGAAGTACGGCTCCCTCGCTGTGGGGTTTACAAGACAAGTTGGAGTAGAAATTTTCACACTGTTCGTGTTGTGTTAACTTTTGTAAGTGGATGTCTCCCTCATGTACACCCATACATGGCATCTACTTCCATTCTGCTTATAATTTCAATCAAAATTTTCAGTCTGTGCTATTCACAAGAAAAATCCTTTCTACTTCGAAATATTTGGTATTGTGGAATTGGTAAAAAAAAAATTAGGGCTGTGGATATAGCTCAAGGGCACAGTGCCTGCCTGGAAAGAGGGAGGTCATGAGTTCGATTCCTGGCATCAAAAAAAAATTTTTTTTAGTTCTAATTTTTACCAACAAATGTGGTTCTATGTATTTGAGCTTATGTTCAATATATTTTTATAATCTTAACCACAAAAATCACAAAATATTGCTTTTTCAAAAATTATACAGTAAGTCAAAGTTTATGCATTTCTTTCCTCAATCAGTTGTATGAACAGACACATTTTATTGTTACCATATGTTCTTGCAAATTACAGTAAAAGAATTTCCTAAAAATTATTCTCATATTATTACAACCATTATAAGGACTTTTAAAAAATAATGCACTGTGAAGTCACTATATTTTGGATCCATTGAATATAATATATCTAAAAAATATACCATTATTTTAATTTTTATTTATGATTTTTAAAATTCATTATATTCTAGGTATTCTCTGAGCCCTGGGGATATAATGCTAAGAAAGAGACAATTCCCTACCTCAGAGAACTTACATTTTTGTGGAAGAGACACACCATAATCAGTAAATAAATACCTGACCATATTACATAATGATAAATTCAATAAAGAATTTTAAGGCAGCAGGAACAAGATAAATTTGGAGGGCTATTTCAAGCTGGGTGGTAAGAGAAAGCCTCTCTTCAACATTAACTATGAGGAAGGAAGAAGTAAAGTGATAATGCTGTCTAACGAAAACTTTCAGGACAGGAACAATTTCCCTATGGTAGAAACAAATTAAAAAAGATCATTGCAGTTAGGGTAATCATGCTAAAAAGGGGGAGAATAAGTGGAAGATATCTACTTGTGGAAACATATCAGTCTCATTTTCCTCAGTTCTTAAGTTCTAGACATATTAATATACTGCCCCCATTTAGTTTTGGATCTAGATATTCTAACTAGCAGCAACAGTACCTGCATGCCATAAATATTTGTCTTTCTATAATAGTTTAATTAGATTTAGAAATTTTGTGGTTTACAGTATTTACCTTAATTGGTGCTGGGTGATTAAGAATGAAAGAATTTGATAAGTATGTACCTTTCTTATAAAATGATTTGAAGTAATGAATGTAAAGTGCTCTGCACCAAAATATTACCATTCTGAATACTTTCTTTGTACAGGGGCTTTTGAAAGTTGCCATAGATAATGCCAGAGCTCAAGAAAAGCAGGTCCAACTGGAGAAAACAGAGCTAAAGATGGATTTTTTAAGGGAAAGAGAACTAAGGGAAACTCTTGAGAAGCAGCTGGCTATGGAACAAAAAAACAGAGGTATTCATGAACTTCTAAATACATTTAAGTAAAATATTCAACACAGTGGTATACATCTGAGGTGATTTATGTTGAGACTGTAGCTTTTTGGTTAATTTACCTATAACTAAAGTTTACAGCAGAATTTGAATCGTGGGCTGGCATTTTTTTCATCTCCAAAGTACACATTTCCTTTCCTGTTCCTACTCAGAGGATTGACATATAGCCATTATGTCATTGGTCATATAATTTTTATTGCTTATGTGGTTTAGCAAATCTGTAATCTTTAAGATAAAAATGAGCTCTGATAAGATGACAGCCATGAAGAAAACTTTTCAATTTCCCTTTGAAAAACTAGAGTTAAAGTCATGAAGCTAAAGTAGAAAATACTGATTATTCAAGCAAAGCGGGCTTAGTAAGATATTTATCAACTGAACTTGAAGACTGATGAATATCTGAAGAAATGACTATAGTTAAGTGTTTGTATAATTTTCTTTCTGAATGACTCATTTTCACTCAACAAGGTCAAGTACACAGAGTAGAAACCAATATGAATTCTTATTGGGAGAAACTGATGATATTATTGATCTATGAACTGTGTCTTTTAGCACACTGTACCATCCATCTATAGATGATTTTGAAGGTCATTCATATTTGTATGTTTATGTATGACTTTGAAGATTATTTACAACTAACACTAATTTGCTCCAACTGTAAGATTCTCCCAACTATTGTACAGAAAGGGGAGATTTTCTCTTTTTTTTAACTTAATGAGGATGCAATTAAGGATTTATATATTCTTTTACATGTCTCACATGGTTATTCAAAGATCATTGTTTCTGTTTTCTTGTAAAATAGGCAGGACTTAGTTCATTTCACTAGTTATTGTGAGACAATAGCTAGTGCATTTCTGGAATAAGGTTGATTTGACAATCTGTCAAATTACCCACATATAGTACAATTCTAAATAACATAGCCCCCATTACTTTAGATACTGAAATAAAACAAAATAAACACTGACAATAAATGTGAATAAGAAAGTTTGGTGAGAGAGTTTAATCTATGAAGGTATTTTCTCTGAGATAGCCATATCTTCATTTTGTTCTAACCTAAAGAAGTCTTTTGTACATGATTTATGAGTATTTCAAAAGAAGATAGAAAAGGAGGAGGAAAGAAAATTGCAAGAAGCACTTGAATTTCAGACAGAACAGTATGAGCAAGCAGAGAAGGCACTGAAGGAGGCAGCTTCAAGAGGTAGTCTCAGATAGTCTCATGCCCTTATGTAATTTTGTAGATACCTGTTGTCAGGTTTTACATTCTACTTTATTCCTTTAACCACTAGAGGGCAAAACATTCACAGAGCACACCACAAACTTTCCATTTAATTAATCATGATCAGTAAATTAAAAATAATAATGATCACTACTTATCTATAATGTACAAATCTACTGAGGCAGAGGAGTACCCTGAAGACAGAATGGGTCAGTCCCATTTGATTCAGTCACCTAGGAAGACACCGCGAGTGGTCAGTTAGAAGATGTGGATATTGAGCTACAATACTGTGGATATTGTAGTGCCAGCAAGAGTGTATCATTCAAATAAATATTTCAAAATGTACTATTTTCAAAGAAACATAAAAAATATCATCTTTGGAAAGAGATATAGTAAGCAAATAATTCTGTTGCAATAACTTCATGATATTTGTACTATTAAATAAAGGAAATTACCATTTATTTGGAATAAGCTTTACTCATTTTTATGTTACAAGACTAGTCAATTTGCGGTTTAATTTTAAAAGTTTCAAAAATATATTATATAGAAGCAATAAGTTCAACAAGTTAACGGGCTGTCGTCCAGACAGTAGCTAGTGACACAAACAGGCTATGTAGAAAATGAAACTAGGCTACTTACTTCAACTATTATTTCTGCAATTTATATTTGGACAGAATATTTTGTTAAATAAAAGGTTATAGTTCTTTAATCAGTAGTAAGAGACCAAATAGTAAACTTGAAATAATCATGCTTCATGACATATGCACAAATTTTCTCATAGTGATTTTGGCATATTTATAGCCACATTTACTGTCAAAAAAGATAATTTTAAAGAAAACATAGATCCTTCCCAATGCTGAGTAGTTATGATATATATTTATATAGAGGAGAATTTGAAACAATTACTTTATTGAAAGTATAGTTACTATACATTTTGGAAAGTACCCTTACTTTTTATTATTTACTGATTACACATTATATGGCAATATTTAAATTACTGGTAAGAGAAAAATATATCACAATCAGCTGTATATCATAATCTACTTTTTTACATAGACATAACACTGTTATCAGTGGCATATTATTATTAGCATGGAGGTTTTATATTCCACTGGGTTCCTGAAGAGTGAAAATTAATAATTTTTCATAACTTGCTATGAAGAAATTGTTCGCTGAGAAAATTATAATAACTTGATCCAAGTAAATTACTACTTACATATGTTAATCATAATTAGGACCATTTTACTATTATATACAAAAACATTTATTGAATTTCCTAAAATTTCAAGACAAAATTATTAAAATCCTAGTTGTGGCAACATGACCTGCTTCTAGTGTTTTGAACTATTCAAAATATTCTTGACTATTCTGATAAAAGGACAATTAAGCTACAAAGTTCATTTAATCAAGATTCTTTTATCAGTGAATATAAATATTTACTAAAATTGGCTTCCATTAAATTTTTCTCTACCTGTGACAATTAAAAGCTGTCTAGTAATTATTCAAGGCTAAAGTAATAATTGGCTTCTTTAGACATTGTATTAAGAATTATTTTAAGTAAATGTGGGGTTTTTTGAACTTTCTACTTATTGGCAGGTTAAATCCAGCAGGAAATTAAAAATAGATAAAAATATTGACCCTCTGTAAAATAGCAACATTAGAAAATGTTTTACAAAACTAACAGTGACACATTTTTTTCTAGCCATAGTTCAAAAGAGGCTAAAAAAGGAGAAGAAGGCAAAAAGAAAATTGCAAGAAGCACTTGAATTTGAGACAAAACGGCGTGAGCAAGCTGAGCAGACACTGAAGCAAGCGGCTTCAACAGATAGTCTCAGAGTGTTGAATGGTAAGAAGATGTAAGCATAAATGTGACCAACTACAATTTTGAATACTCAGAAGAGAATTTAGACATGCATTTGTGGTTTTGTATATTTCTATGAATGTGATCCACGCAGCTATGCATGTGGCTGAAAGCGTGATAGAAAGAGTTTGTTGGGGAAAATACTTTATTTCATAAATACTTCTATTGTTTTATTACTTTACCCTAGCACCTGGGATCCAGCATTTCTTTGTGCTTACCTAAATCTTTTTTTCTATAAAAAACATGATGAATATCAATTGAAGAACTTCCACTTCTATCCTATCTTGTGAACATTATTATGTGACTTGTTTATCTATTTAAATCTGAAAATTCCTATGACTAGAGATTCTGTTCAACCTTTAAAAGATGACAAAGATTTATGTGGTTTTAATTCAGCACCAGAGTAACAGGTTGTTCTTTTTTTAAAAGGACAATGGGAATCAAATGAAATATATGTCACTCTTACCTTTCTGTGCTTTTAGACTCTCTGACCCCAGAGATAGAAGCTGACCGCAGTGGCGGCAGAACAGATGCTGAAAGGACAATACAAGGTAGGAATTTGCAGAAGGCTATAAATCTAGATCTTGCTATATGAGTTTTTCCTCAGCTCTAGCCTGCTATTCAAGCATGTAGCCTACCATCTGGGCCACATCAAAACAAGTTCAAACAAGGTCAAGTTCATCTTGCTTGTTTATATGAGCGAATTCATTTTGTGCTGATAGATTTTCTTTAAATTAACAGGTCATTTCTGTTTATACAATGCAATTAAAAAGGAATAATTAATTTTAAACAATGTATGAATTAATCTAGGACATAGTAAATGTACTTTATTGAATGTTTGGAGCCCAACCTAACATAGAAAGGGTTTATATATTCTATACCATATAAATAAAATAATAGATTAAGTAAATATGTAGTTCTTAAAATTTAAAAATGTCTAACTAGTCACTTTATGACAGTTACTGCAAGGCACTTGCAAAATGTACTCATTTAATGTTAACAATAAATTAGATTGTTTAGTTCCTGTGTGGATTTCCAAATATTCTGCATGCCATTATATACATTTTAATCACACAAATATGCTAGAAAAATCATATATAGAATACTAGAGGGAATTGAGTTAAGCACTAAGAAGAGCTAAATATGTATATTACCAAGCCCACACTACTAGGAAAGGACAAAATCAGAGGGAGAATTTATAATGAAACATCTAGACAAGAAACTCGGTCAAACAACATGAATACTAAACAGGAACAAGAGCATTTGTTGTCTTTTTAAATAGGATGATTCTTTAAAGGGATGTCTAAAATGATTAAATGTTATAATCCTCCCAATTGCTTTTATTTTGCACATAATGTATTCTTGCAGATAAATGAAAAACTCATTGTTAATATTAAGAATAATTAAATAGTGATTAAATGTTTTTCATAGTTCACATAATATGTGTGACATAAGTTCATCATCAACATTTTTGTAATTAATAATTTGATTATTTTTATTTTAAGGTATAAAATTCATATACTCAAATGCATATTTTAATGTAGACAAAGTCTTATTTGTATGAGGTTGAAATATTGACAATTTTTAATTTCTGTGATTTGGATATACTGAAAAAAGAAAATTATCTAAAATTACCTTCCTTTTGCTATCCATAATGCTATTAGTAACATGGTGAAGCTACCAAAATTACCTCATGATAGAAAAACAAAATGTTGTACAAAAATAAAACATTTGCACAAGAATTATTCTTAGTAACTCAAAGCCAAATCTAAACTATTATGGGATTATTTTTGTTTTTAATTATGATATAAAATATTCAGTCAGACAGCCTTCCAATTGTCAGATTGATCAAAACACACAAGCTTCAATAAAATACAAGTATTTATTTTTGTTAGATAATATGAATTTTCTTCAAATGAATTACAAAGAAGCACTATATGGGTGTTTCTAGCTGTTATTTGCTTAAAAGATATTTCACACAGGTGGACTATTGCAGAACTTTTGAAATAATAGAGAAAGAGATCTTTATTACTCATTTTTCACTCTGAGTCTTTTTTCTACTATTATACTAAAACAATACATTGGAAAAGTAACAGTAACATTAACTGTGAAGAGAACAAATGAAAGAAGGAAGAGCGTCTTTAGTGAAATTCTGTCTAAGCACCACAAGGGAAAGGCAAATGAAAGACAGCCAAAACTGACTCCTAATTTTACATTTCGGGAGCCATGTGAAGCAGTGCTTCAAGATTCAAAAGTGATACTAACAGCTTCGTGTCTCCTTCACTCTGTCTCGCTGTGTCTCCAAGTGCAGACATTACACTCTTCACGTTCACTTTTACTCCCAACCCAACCAAAACTTAAATTGTTCTTTATTCCAAACTAAACTCTATTTATTTGGGAAAGAAAAAACTAGGCACATAATTTTATGATTATCACTTATTTTTAATATTTTAGCAATAAGTAAATACCACAGTTGGCCCTCGAGGTAATCACCTAGAAGTTGGGCACTTAAATACTGCTTAAGTGCCAACTACTTACCTTCATGGAAGCACCTCAGATCAGACTAAATATTGCATCATTGTCGATATCACCGTTTTATATGACAGTTTCCATAACATTGAAGAGGTGGTGAAAACAAAACCTGAGTGGTTTAGAAAATATTCTTTCCGAGCAACCTTTTTAAATGATTTAACTTTTCTTCATAAGTACGACAAATAAATTCGTGTCTCACAGAGATAAATTCTTTATTATTAATATTTCTAATGACTCACTCAAAATCGTGTGTTTGATGAAGCTATTGTAAATATAGAATGAATATTCCAAAACTATAAAAGAAAACAACTTTGGGGGGCTCTGAATCATATGGCAATTAACTCTTTCATGTTGTGAGTCTTCACAGATATCAATGCGATGATTTGTGTTGGGGTTTAAGAAACTTATACCTTAAAAAGAATGTTCTGTGCTAATATTATTTAGACCAGATATCATGCCTTTATCTTATAGTCTGATTAACTACAATGAAGACAATATGTAATAGATCAATTATTGTAACTGTGCTACTAACCTATCTTGAAACTCAGCTGCATTGTTTGTTTATTTTTTCTCTTCAAAATAAAAAAAATAAAAATAAAAAGAGTTGGAAAGGCAAATTGAGAGATGACCTTAGTCTAAGGATAACTAAACGTCATTACTTGGCTCATGGCTCTCTAAGAATGCTCCATGAATAAGATTTTATGTTTACTTGTCAAAAAGAGAAACTATTCCCAGATTCGGAATCCTCTTTTCAGTAGTCCCCTGACACTGACAATTTTCTTTCACAAACTTCTGGTTGGTGTTCAATTAAAGATTAAAGGGAATACTCTTCAGAAAAAAAAAAAAAACCAAAACAACTTATCCTATTTTATACTTCTTTAAAAAGATGGTTGAATGTTCAGGAAGAATTTATGGAAATACTTTTTGAGCAGTGGTTTGGGCTGGTCAGTAAATATCCTCCCAAACTTCCTCTACATATAGAAATGTACATACACTCTCTATGTTGCCAGTTCTGTAATGTCATGGTTTCTTCCACTGAGTCCTACTCTTATTTTCATCTTTCTTCCTAGGCAAGAGTATCTACTTAAGTGAGTTCAACATATATTTTGACAGTTGTATAATGATATCTGTCCAACCCTTAGCAGCTCCCTTAGCAGCCCCAGACAGTAACCCACAACTTTCTGTGTGGTTGCTTCACAGAGGTCTCAAAGTTCAGTGCTCAAAACAAAGTATTCTCTCCACAAATCTAACTTTCTGCAGTATTGCTTTCCCACAGTGACTCTCTTCCTGACTCTCATCAGGTCTAATTCAATGTCCGTATAATGAAGGAAGAACTGAATTTGACATCTCCCTCCTTCACTCCATGGCAATCTACCCTTAATCACCGCTCTTCCCCTTCAATCTCTCTGCTCCTGTCTTGCTGGCATTTTTGTTCTTGATATTTTCCTAAAGGCAAGGACATCCCTCCCCACTTCCTTGCCTTAACTTGTGCACCATTGAAATCCCAGTTTAGAAGTTACCACCTTTAGAACACTTCGCTTCCGCTGAAGCGCTGACCTGCCCCTTAGGCTCAGTTCCACCTGTGTGCCTCTGGAGCTGCTTATTCAGTGTTCTTCTCTCAGAGTAGTTGGGCAGCCAGAGGCATCCTGCTTGGTTCACAGCTGAGCCCCTACTGCAGTGATGGTGAACCTTTTATAGTTTGGTGCCCAAACTGCAACCTAAAACGCTTTGATTTATTGCAAAGGGCCGGCACTGCAACTCAACCTGAATACTGAGGTTTTACTTTAGAAAAGACAATTCATACTTTAGCATCTCTTGTCTTAAAAGAAAAACAAATGCTATGCATGCCATAGGCATGCCGCCACTGCCCTATTATCTGTAGGGGTGTTGGGCACACAATGATACTTTCTATGTGTTCCCTGAAGGAAGAAATTAGACACTGTTAAATTAGGACCTGTGTTAGAACTTATGGATATGGAAGTTCTTATTGTTCAACATTTCTCAGTCAGAAGTTCTTATTTTTCAGCATTTCTCAGTTGGAGAGACTGATGGAAGGAAATAAAAATGATGTGACTGATTGGGAAAGTTAGAATTATAAATGCTGGCAAAATTAATGTTCATATTTGATAGCTGAATTAACAGTGTGTGTTTTTTCTTGTTGTGTGTGCCTCTAATATCATTTTATTCTTTGCACATAGGATCTAAGATACGCATTCTGTACATACCTATTTATATCTTATTTTTGAATTTTAAAATAATATTTAATTTAACATTCCAAAATCACATTTAATAATTAGTTTTTCCCATCCTATTTACAAAGTGCATGCTTTTCTTTCATCTAATATACATGAATATAATGCTTTTCTGATTTGGTTGTTAAAATTACAAAAGGTTAAATCTGCCAAAAACACATTCTACCATGACATGGTAGATATTACTGGGAGACTATATTTTATATAAAATTTTTGAAAAATCTTGAAAGTTTACTTTCAAAACAGTTGCATTTTGCTTTAATTTTTCAAGTTAAAACCTATTCTTTTGAACACCTAAATTATTGTTAAAATCAATATTAATGTGAACCACAGTGCCTCTGACATCATAGGTTATCTTCAAGTTATGCTTGGAAAATCTTGACTTCACTTGAAAGTACATCTTTTATGTACATCCAATGCCAATAATTAAAATTATTTTGCTTTTTATTTTCTTTTTAACTGATCCTAGATCACAGAAAACCAAATAGTCCACCAATAAAAAGACATAAAATACTTGCCTACACATTAACAATCTCTTTCTTTCCCATTTAAAAAGGTTCTGTTTCCTAGATGGAAGACACAGGCTGAATTTAATTTTAAAATTATTAATTTATTTAATAATCATATTCAACATCAGTGATATACTAAACACACTTTTTGTTGTCACTGCATTAGTATGGAGCTATGTGTTTAAGATAAATTAAATCTTTCTTGTGCCAAAGAGAAAACTGAGGCTTAGTGAGGGTAGATGACTTATTAAAAGTCAC